TATACATATATATATATATTTCAGTCCTAGGCTTGAGTACTCTGATTTAATGGCTTCTTATTTCATCTTTCTTCAGTCATTATTAATTTAACTCCTTCAGTCCATGAAGCAAATAAATTGGCTGGATTCTGCTGTGCTGAGTACACCTAGACCAGGAGGGTTTTGGGGCTTCAGTGAAGCACATTTTCCCACTTTAAAATGCTGCAATAATTTCTTTGCTGATCAAAATACTTAGAAGAAATCAGAATGGTACTAGATACCTAGATAATTTAGGAGGGGGAGTGTCCACAGAAGGTGACCTGATAAGAACACAGAATAATGTGCTTGAGCCAATGCAATAAACCCGAAGCACATCCAGCTTTATTTTGTTCCAAGTAATTTCAAGTCATATGTGTATACCAGTATATTTATAGATGGCATGTAGACATATTCTTTATAGTCTTACACTTGTAAATGAGCACTAGATTTTGTTTCTTTTCACAGTAAGGCAAATAAATTGGTTTTTCCCCTGTAAAGTAAAATTATTCCATTTTTAAAGAAAATGTGTTTCTTGGCAGTTTCCTCCAGTGTACAAGCCAAATATTCTGGCTTCAGTGTCATACAAACAACTTCAGCAATATCAAACATTGAAAAGCATAAGTCAGGGCCTCCAGAATAATGGTGCAGAATGAAAAAAAAAATAATTTAGAAGTGATTCTATGTGTTAAGTATTGGGTTCTTTACATCTGTTCATGCTTTCTGGGTTCTAAGTGCAACCACAGACCAAAAACTTACTCTTCAAAAAGGAATTAGATTTTCAAATAACAAAATTACTCCAGGAATGGAAGCTTAAAAAAAAAAAAAAAGAATATTCTGATTTTCAAGATAAAATCTTCACATGAGACAACAGTGGTTGCAGCTTCTGTGAGTTGTGTTTCATTAGGTTCCATGCAATACCTACAGCAATTACAACCTTCTCAAGGTCAGTTTAGAGCAAATACAAAAATAGTCTTAACAAGGTCAGGGAAGGGAAATATCTGGGGTTTTTTTATTCTTCTTCTTCCCCCTGACTTCATTTCCTTGCCTTCCTGAAGCAAAGACCTCGCTGGGTCCTTTCTGCTGAGTCATTTCTCGAGAGGACGCCAATTTTAGGGACTCATTAAATGAAATATCTCGTCCTGAGGAAAATCCCAAGAGTGCTTCAAAGCATTCTGCCTCTCCAGACTCTTCTACAGTGGCTTAATTCCATAGTTCCCTGGTGTAAGGATGTTTTGTCCTTTGAGTTGGATGTGCTGAGCAGTGACTATTGCAGTTACACCTCTTGGATCCTGGTTGTAACTCTTATGTGGGATTGGGGCTTTGGGGGGACTTTGATGGGATTTTTGCCTCGTCTCTAGTGGGATGATCTTAATTCCTTCATTTAAGGGCAATACTGGTGTATTTTGTCCCTTCATCTTTATTATCCTCTATGTGTGTGGTCTCTGATTCATATTTTTAGTTTTCTCAGGCTGCCCATTCAGATCAGTAACAGTTTATCTCCAAATATGCCTTTTTCCTATCTTTACATACACATGTGCCTTGATTGCTGTATTTTGGTGATATTATATTTGCTTCTTTACAGAAGACTGTTTGATCTCCATAAAGAATAAATGCAAATATCATGGACAAGGACGTATTACTCTTGGAAAACGTGACATTTTGGTTGTTTTGATGACTCCTCTTTCCTTAGCCTCATATATGATAAAATCTTTTGTATATTTATTTCATGGTCAGACTTAAAATTGCCATCACTAGAGCTATTCATTTGCTACCCTACAGTTTTCCTGAACTCTTGGCTTCCTTCTGCTGGGACTGCTCACTCTGGGTCAGGATTCATGGCAGGTGCACATGTGATACTCACAGAACTGTTTGCTCAAATCTATATTTTTATTTCATGTTTCTAATGAGGAGGTTCCTAAATGGCATTTGACATATTCTGCAGTGTGTGCATGGTATCAGTTATAGCAACTCCTTCTTTATTTTACTTTCAGCTGTGTTCCTGCCTTTAAGCAAACCCTCCCCTCCCTTCCCTGCTGCCCATGGAGATGGATCCTTCCCTCCCCTCTGGTTGCCAGGGTGACTGGGCTTCCCTGATGCAGATGCTCTTTCCTTGGCTCCTTGCCATCCCTCTCCCAGAGACTGGAGTTTTCACTTTCCCTAGGATAGTGAGGACTCCTGTTTGCTCTTCTGCCTGCCCCTCCTGAGCAGACCTGGTTTAGCAGCTGCTGAAAGGACAAGGGATTTGATGTGCCTGCAGGGTGGGATCAGCAGCCTCTGAGCAAAGTGAGTGAAGTGGAAGTCACCTTGTATTATTTTTCCTTTTTTTATTTTTTTTTTGGTTTTTGTTGTTTTGTTTGTTTGTTTGTTTGTTTGTTTTTGATTCTAATCCTTCTCCTTGAGCCAGTTCTCACTCCTTAATGTGCCTGTGATGAGGAGAAACAGGACCCTAGAGTGGTACATGTGCACCAGAGGTAAATCCTTTTCTGTTTGTATTTCAGAATGGATAAATTCAATTTCCAGTGTTAGTGACACTGGAAAATAGATCCTTGCAGTACCTGTAAGCACATTTGCCACTGAGGTCTTGCCAAGCTTTAACTCAGAAATTAATAAACCTCAGGATAGAATTCAGATGTGAAATCACAGGTGGTTCAGAAACTTTGGGAAGGAATTTGACTGTTTTCTGTCACTGAGCAAACAGATATTGAGTCACCATTGTGTTCAGCTAAAAAGCCAAAATTTCAGATTCTGAATGCCTGTTCTTGGTTGCTGGTAAATGTGGTCCCATCTTGGAATCACTTTCTGAGGTCAGTGAACAGTTTTGAGTTACAAATCAACCCGGAGTTACAATTTGCCTAAGTATGACTCAGCTGCAGCCAAGTACTATTTTTAGTCAATTAAATTCATGGAGTTATTTGTCCAGTTCTAGTCAAAATTCTCTTTTGAGATCCCAGTAAGAAAATCTCAGGTGTTGAAAGATAAGAATTTAGGGATGGAAAAGTAAGGATGAAAAAAACCTGCTCTTTAGTAGTTCAGATTCTCTGCTTTCCACAAGCCATGAGTATTTTGTCTTGCACATTCCCCTATGTTTTCTATGGCATAATTTCACATGATTCAAGTAATAGGACTTTTAATACTCTGTTCTCTGCTTCTGGGACTCAGTGACAAAGTGCATTAGGCTGGTGCTGTTAAGTGTAAACTATGGGATGCTTCCAAATATTTGGACAAATGTGGTCCTTTGCTCAAGTTCATCCTTCATCCTCTCCCCTGCACTTTAAACATTCCATCTTTTGAGCCTGTTTCATGCTAGTTTGCTTGTTTTTAAAGTAGTGATATATATGCAAATCTCTAAGTAGTAATGTCATCCCTGTTTTATAGGAAATCCAGGAACAGCAGCTCCACTGCAGCTACCAGATACACTTATAACCCTCAGCGAGCTTCCCTTTCTAACTTACAGTTAATTATTTTTAAAACACACAACATGTTACTTCTGGCTGAGCTCTAAAACATCATGTACTTGTTCTTTGGCATGGGAAGTATTTATAAAAGCTTTTTCTGCAGTGGTTGGAAATTAGGATAAAAAGCATTAGGCTACTTCCATTAACAAAGTTAGTAGGAAGCACTTGCTGGAGCAGAGTTTGTAATGTTTGTACATCTGTAAGAAGGATGTTCTATATTTAAAATACTTCCTCAGAAGAAGCATTGGAACAGTGATAACAGTTTTTCCTGCCAAAAAGTAATAGCTGTGCCAGGCTGCAAGAACATCAGGCTTATTCCTTATAGTCCCCCTATGCAAGCGTAAGTTAATATTCAAGGGGTTAAAATGGAAATGATCTTAGATTTCAGCCTCCTGTGCAGTCCTTAGTTTTATTCAAAGACATCAAATATCATGACACATCTTCACCATGACAGTGCTGCTTCGACTCATGGCTTGGGCAGTAAAATATACACAGATTTTTGTATTGTGCACACTCTGCTGTGCTATAAATGTAAAAATTACTTTATTCATCGATATATGATACTCTGAGGGGTGTCTTATCTCACAGCAGTGGTTGGGGCAGGGAGTTTATTTCACATGGATTTCCTCAGCACTTTTGAAAGGGCAGTTTGCAAATGAAGCACAGGATTCATTACAGAGATTAGTCAAGGTTATTTGATGAATTTGGACATTACCACATCTGCAATAACTTTGTATTGTTACTCTCCTCTGTTTTATCATTAGAAAAATAAATCTTTTAAATCTTGAAATATTCCCAGCAATGTTATGGAGATCTTTAATGTATGATACAGGCTTGATTTATTTGCCCTGAATTAATGTGGATGACTTATTTGAGGAGGGTTTAAATGCAGTTAGCACTTCAGCTAGTGTTTGGCATTACTCCTAAAATATGTACATATATATATGGGCACATACAGAATTCAGTTAGCATGGAATTATGATTTTTGGAGGCACAGCTTTTAAATATCAGTATCTGCAAATATACTTAATCTGTCTCTCATCCTTTAATCTTTATGCAACCATTGAAACGTAACATTGTAACAATAAAAGTTAATGAATATTTCTTCCTCTTTAAAGATTTGACTGTCTAATCACAAAGGAAGATACCCAGCTGTTTTAAAAGTAAGGATGTCAGAGGAAAATATTTCTGTAGCTGATGTGTTCAAACGAGACATTTCTTGTAACTAAAGAGTAAAGCATCTTGAAAACTCCACAATTTCAGTTCAAGAGTCTCAGTGCTAACAACTTAATCTTATGGTGGCAACTGCTTCCTAAGAAGGAAAAAAAGTGTTTTACTGGAGAGCTGAAATATCTGTTCTGTCCAGAAGCTTTCTTGTATTTTAGTTACAAGATTAGTACAATATTTGTTCACATTATTCTCAACATCACTCTGAAAAAGATAGAACCCATTTAAGCCATTACTGTGTTTTCTGGTACAGACTTTCATTAGTTCTGTAGTTAGAGCAGTTAAAAAGGACTGACTTACCCTGTCTTCTTCAGCTCTTAAGTCCGGCATTGTGCTGACACAAAGGCTTACAGCTGTGGTGGCCACAAAGAGAATGGAGAGACAAGCAAAGACTTTGCCTGGGAGTCCTGACTGGGGATTTTCTACCATATCTCTGAGTCTGTTCATAAACTGTCCAAATCTGGTTTTCTCATCCAAGACACACGTAGCCTCTTTGCTCCTCCGAAGCTCCTCTTCCTTGCGGATCTCGGCCAACTCCTGCAGCTTCTGAAACAGTTTCCGAAAGCAGCAGTTCTCCAGGTTGGATTCCTCAATCCCCCAGTATCTCAGCTCCTCCTGAAAAGACAAGGCACACATGTCTCTTAAGAGCATCAGCTTCCCTGCTGCTAGGAAGCTGACAATCATCCCAAAAGCATTGGGGTTCCTGTCAAAGAAGAACTCATGGGTGTCTTCGTCGTAATCGTCGCACAGCTGAATTATTTCTTCATAGCTGCTGCAAAGCTTTAGTTTGCTCAGTCTGGTCAGAGGGAAGTCATCTAAAGTACTCCAAGGCAGCAGGTACTTCATGCCTCCCACATTTATCATGATCTCTGTCTTTAGATCAGCCGCAGAGACTTGGTCAGGGTGGTAAATCCTCCTGGCTCTCTGGTAATGGACCCCTTTGACAGAAGGTGTTTCCACATAGATAGGAATGAAGTGGCTCAAGGAATTACAGGAGTTGTAGCTAATGTTACTATAGTCTTGGTCACTGCCTCTGGAGAGAATAGGCATCTCTAAGAGTTCTCACCGGGACATCCGAAATGGCATCAGAGCAGGGGTATCTGTCAGCCAGAAGATACAGCAAGGAGGAGAAAACATAGCAGAGGTTATTGTAAGACAAAAGGTGTTCCCAGCTACTTTCCTAAATCACAAAATTAATGAGTGCCTGTTCGTAAGTAAAAGTCACCTCTGTGCTTCTTCCTGAAACCTGCAGCCTGTGAATGAGCTTTGCTTTGCAGCCTCATTGGTTGTCTGGCAACACAGGCACAGAGGAGCTACAGCCTCATTCATAATTATCACAGAGGGTCGGGTGCCTGCAGATCCAACCGGGAACAGATCGGGCTCTTCCCCGAGTAGATCTCAGGCATCGTTAGATCGTTGTTTTCCGGTAGTTGCCGCTTTGCTTTGTTATTTCTATAAACCCTCAAACGCACTTTAACTCAACTAAGCTGCTTAATAGTTATTAGGGGTGGAGTGGTCAATTACCTGCCATCAGCTGGATGCAAAGTTCCTAATTGCTTTAACTTGACTGCTCGGATTGTGATTCCTCTTTCCTTCCCTGCACGCCGGCTCTGCCTCTCGGGGGTATGGCAAGGATTAGCTACTAGAGGTTTATAAAATTCCTTAAGTGGAAAAGTGCTGCGTAAATGATGACTATTCTTATCAACCCGACCTCGTGTCACTGCAAATTACCGAGAAGACAGAGGGACCGTTTGCCCATAGTGGAGAAAACTTTGCTCCACAGACAGAAAGTGTTTTATCAGCTTGGAGGGAGGAAGCAGCTGAAACACTCACCCCTTCCTTAACTTCCCTCCTTTCAGGAACAAATCCCTGCTTTTGTTCATCAGCTCTCAAGATTAAAAGGCATTTCTTATTCTTACCCCGAGTCCGTGAAGTGCAAGAATTGCAAGGAAAGTTCCGCGAAGTTCCTTACCAGCGCTCCGGGTGCTGCTGCCGGGTGCCCGCCTGCCCCGCAGGTGAAGAGCACATCCCGCCCACTGCTCGGCTGCTCCCTGAGGCACCGTCCGGCACAAACACCTGGGGATGTTTTACAGTATTGTTTGCATGTAAAAAATCACCAGAGCACTCTGGAGATGGCAGTCTCTTTGCTCTTCCTCTTGTTTTCTTGCTTTCCTGGAAGGGGAGAACAGCCGTGTGTGTTCGTGCAACATATGTTGTACTGATAGATCCTCTGCAAGGGAGGCGGTGTCCTGAGGGGCAGCTCCTCTCCTGGGGCTTCCTGGTGAAATGTGCTGAGTGAGAGCTGGTGGATCCTGCCCTCTCCTTGTCTCTCCTCTGTTTCCCCCGGGACTGCCAATGTGGCCCTGGAAGAGGAGGGGAGAGGCAAGGGGGAAGGGCTTAGAAATAATCTCTCCAGCATCCCTTCATCTATCCAGCAGGCAGCAGGCAGCAACTGGGTAAGAACATGGAGTACAAGTCCCCGACTAATGAGGTTTAATAATCAGTAAATTCTGGCAAATCTACTTAATAAAACAATTTCAGTGTCTGTTAACTCCTTCCATCATAGTCGTGCTAGAGTTACTTGGGCTGGAGACACCACTCAAATTCCTCAGAGGCAGTTTCCATGACCTTCATCCCCCATGAAACTGGGCTTTGCTCTTTAATATCCCTAGAAGGAAAGGGAAGTTTGTTGGGTGCATGGATGCTGTGCCTCAGCATTTCTTTAGCTGTCAAGGAAATGCTTTCCTCTTGTAAAAGAAAGGGTCTCTGGCTTGTAAAGCACAGGTGCTGAGCAGCCCCTTTTCCAGATTTGCAGTGCTTTTCCAACAGCCAAGTACTTTCTCCTTTCTTCTTTACAGATGATGGGAAATCAAACATTATCCTTTTCTCACTTTACTCATGCATGGCTGTAGGGGATTGAGATTGCTGTAATGCTTTTGGGTCCTGTACTGCCAGCAGGTCTTGAGCTGCCTCTGTCTGTAATTGGGATGACACGGATTTCACCCATGTCCTGCTTGCTTGGCCTCAGTCAGAGGGTTCAGTAAACCTGGGCTGAGGTTCCGTTGACAAGCACCCTCTGTGGTGCTCCCAAATGCCTTAGCTTGTGTCTGCACCCAGCAGGGCTGAAAGCACTGAGGTGAATCCTATTCCTAGAGAGGTGTGTGAATCCGTGGGATTTCCATGTCCCGCAGTGAGTGTGAAGGTTTTGTGGAGAAGTGTGATGAGCTGGGACCACTGAGCTGGTTTTCAGCAGTGTGGGGACAAGGTGCAGGTGCCCCTTACCCGTGGGGTTTGGGGGGGGGTTGTGCACCACCACACTCACCTCAGCAGCGGGTGCTGAGGCTGTTTGGCAGCGCTGAGCAAGGTTATGGGACGGGAAGCCTTTGCTAATTGGACTTTTGGCACATCTCTCTTGGCCCACGTGGTGTCCAGAAGATTAACTTCTTATCAGGCTTCACCACTGGGGTTTTCACTCAAGTCCTAATTATGCCATCCAAGAGAAAGACCGAATAGATGCCTGAAGGCACCTGAGTTCTGGGAGTGTAGCTCAAAATCACTTAAATCCTACCACCTCTGGCAGTTTGCTCTGCCTATCAGTCTTTCTTATGGATTGTTTTTGCAAAGAAAAAGCAAACCTATTCTAATTAACATTGGATGGATTGTTTCACAAAAGGATAAAAGCAATTAACATTTCCTTCTTACCTTGTGAAGCCCTTTCGTGGTGGTGTTGTTAAAGGTTATATTTCTGAAACCAGCTCACAAGAAGGTGAATAAATAAAATAAAAAGAGAAATTATTGTATGCAATTGAGTGATTTGAGTGCTATACCTATTTATCAAGAAATTAGTTTTTAAGACTTCAATACTGGGTATTCTAATAGTTGCTTTATTGGGATCTGCAGCCATGTCTGTAGCTAGATCAGGACCTCACTGTTGACTGGAATTGTACAAATATCTGTCAGACAGTCCTTAAGAGTCTTCTGTCTTCCTAAATGAGACAGGAATGTTTTTATCTGGATTGTATTAACAGGAGATGAAGGCACACAAAAGAGAAATCCTTAATTTAATGTCCAAGGAAGCCAAGCCCTTAACCCAGATCTGAAGGTCTTAAACGTGTAACTCACCCCAAAACTGTCCTTCCACCCTGGCTGGTCTCTGCTTCTGCTCCCCTAGACCTGCTGCCATGTCTGTGGGAGATCCCCCTCAGCAGTGGAGCATCTAAAACTATAAATGCTGACACCACAAAATGGATATCTCCCCCCAGGTGGGAAAGGCATATTCCTGTCTCAGTTCTAACCTCTGCTGATGTGTTTTTTTCACTTTCTTTTTTTTTTTTTTTTAATTTTCATAGCTACTGCTGCAGTTTTCCTGTTAAATTCCCTTTGTTCTTTTCAAGATGAAGTTCATAATGCTTAATCTTTTTCTCTGTTCTCTATTTCCCTCACAGTTTCTGGAATTGCTCTCTCCTTGCTCCTTAGCCATCTGGTCGTATCAACTCCTTACATACCTTTTATGCATTAAATGCAGTTTCCATATGCTTCATTTCTTTGTTGACACGAATGACAAGCCTGTTTCCCTCCTTTGGTTGTTTTGCCATTCTACTGTAATTTGGTTTAGACCTGCCTCTCATTCCCATTGCACAAGGACGAGGTGTTGCTGAGAGGAAAGCTGAGCAGAAGGAGGTGGTGCTTCCCCAGCTGGCTTGAAACCCTGTGGGTGTGATGGTGCAGTTAAAATCCTCTCCCTGGGACACACACAGGAGAATCTGGTGCAGGCATCCACTGAAGTGAGAAGATTTTTCTTACATAGTTCAGTAATTAAATCATTTGCAGGACTGGTATTTGGGTATTGATAAGAGTTAATGCTGTAGGAGATGGGAAAGAGATGTTCACTGTCACTTGCTCACCTGTGATTTCTTCTCCTCTATTTTGTTCTCTGCAATTATGCCAGAATCCTATACCAGGCAGCAGATAAATACAGAATACAGAGATACTTTGTTTGTAGTTTTGTTTTTTTGTTTTTTTCACACAGCACTTACTAAAACTGCAGAATTTCTGGGCACATGATTTTGTGATGGCCCGAAGTGTAAAGTACTCAGGAAAAGGACTGAGAAATTTAACTCAGGAAGGTCCACCAGGGACATCCAATGTCTGGCACAGAAATACATTTCTGGGCAGCAGGGAGATATTTTAGCACAATGTATGTGCTTTCCCTGGTCTGTTTTTCCCAAGATTTTTGATAGATGATGTGGCAGCTACTAGTGTGACTCTGTGGAGATACTCTTATGCTGAGGAACCTGAGGAACCTAGGGCTCTACTAAGTTTGGTTGATCATACACTACTTACTTGACAATATTTCTCTGTTACAACACCAAAAAAAAGAGCTGAATTTTCTGATTATATCTGCGTGTGCATGTATATATATATATATATTTTCCAGACCAATGATGGTTGTATATAATGGGCAATCTCACAGAAGGGGAGGCTGCACACTCAGAGGTGCTTCATGTAATTTAATAAAGACCCTGTTGTCAATCTTTCTTCCTTCCCAACTGGGCTTTTTGTAACCCTTAAGCATAATACAAAGATAATTGCTTTGCCTGGATTCTATAACAGAAGGTGCATTTCAGGCTTTTAAAGTCAGAGAGAAAACAAAAATGTAAATAAAAATCATTATTTAAAGAAACATGAATGCACTGAAAAGGGGACTAAAAAAAATAAGGAAAATAAATTAATTTTAAAACCCTGCACTGTCTTCATTCATTGGCTTAGAAAACAGCCCAGTGCTGAATTGTCAGTCTGTGCAATTTCATCACAAAATTATTGGATGTTGTTTCTTTTATCGAGTGCGCAGCCCGTTGTCTGCCAACTGTTGTCTGTCTAATTCTTCTCTAAACTTCAGCCAATGTATAGGCCTGGCTTTTCCCTGGTTTTTTATGTTTGTGCCACGTGAAAGCTTGCAATAAATAAAACAATTTTTCATTTATTTGAAAAAAAAAAAAAGAAATTACATGGGATGGAAAAGATCATTTTAACACTCAAAAATTCATTTAAATGCTTCCATTGTGTTCACAGGTGGTTGGCATTTCTGGAATTAATTGGATTTAGATAGCCTTTTTACATGGAAATTCAGCATCTTTTCAGATCCATCTATTACTCATCGGGCATAAAGAATAGCTCAGCCTTGTTTTCTTCATTTAATTATGACATTACACGTGGCAATGTAAACTTTAAGGATTTATTCCAACATTTTATTCAGTCCAGCAGTGTTTGTTTCATGTTCCTGTTTATTTCCTCATAATTTATCTTTATGGAGTAATAGAAACACCCTTTCTTGCCAAATGCCTAGTTTGTATGAATAATTGAATTGACAGTAAAGGACTCGATTCACCTCTTCATTATTCAAGTCTTACGGAGTTGCAGCATTATTGATTCCAGCAGAATAATGCTGCAATCCCCAGGAATATGTGTTAAATCAGACCATGGGTACTCTTGATTTGTTAAGCACTTTCATAATATATTTCTAGTTCATCTCTGCCCTTGGAAACCCCAGTAGTGATCCGTGGTCCTGATGTGCCACAGATTGTCCTGGAAAACTGAGTCACATATCACTGGCAGTGTTTTATTCCTTATTTTCATCCTTGTCTTTGTAAAAGTTTCTTTTTTTTTTTTTTTTCTGTCATGTTTGATGGAAACTAAAAGGGGCCATTTCTTGTTAGGTGAGTTACCACTAAAGCAAATGAACCATTCAGAGGATTTCTTTGCTATGTAAATGTAAAATAAGGTCCATGATATGTAACACACTATTTCTGTGCCCTTTCACTCCTCTCCATGCATGAAGACTGAACTTAAATCATCTTAGGATAAATCCCCTGAAGTTCTCTGTGCTCATTTCCTTTGGACTGTCTAGAAAATTATACTTGTTAATGGACAGTACCTAAGGAAAGGAATCTCAAATGCATAATCATTCCTGTGTCTATCCCAATGAATTTTGCATAAGGGCTGAATCACTGAGGTTTAAAATGTTTTAGGGCATTAAAATGTGTGGCATGGAAACAGCTGAGTGCCATGACTTGGAGCTGAGCTGGTGCCTCTCCACGTGGCAAGAGATGGATTAGGAGATATGTGCCCAGGGAATGTGAGAGTCCTGCTTTAGAGGAAGGCAGCCTCCAGTCTTTCATGGCCAGACCTGGAGAACAAATCTCTCCTGATTCCAGTTCTGGGGATCAGTCTCGCCCTCAGCCCCACACACACAAGTTGAGCATTTGAGGAAGAAGTTTTTCTGCCACCTCTGAGCATTAGGAGTTGACAACAGTTTTTATGGGAAACAGAGAAAACCTTCCCTTCCTGGACTCCAAACCAGAGGGCACATCTGTTTGATTGTGTGGACATGAGGAAATAAGTTGGGTTGGCATCTTTG